TACAGTCAACTCTCCATAAATGCAACCTCTGGGGACCAGCTTCAAAGCATGCATTTAGAGAGTGTTGCAATTAGAGATTAACCAATAATATTTATTCACATGATATTATTCACGTGATCTCAGTAATGACCAATAATATCATTAGAATAGACATACTATGTCCATTGGCATTGTCATCGGTTTTTTAATTGTGTTGGAGTCGGGATTCATTCACATCTGAGAATGTTAGGATTGATACATATATCTATATAGTGATAGATTTACTAACAAACATTTGATATAGTAGATTTTTACTATAATTGTGTTACTACTTTATTAGATGATAATAAAAACACTCTTCACTCCAAAAAGGCTTCAATGCTCATTTGTTTCAAGGAATCGTTTTGATGCTTTCTTATGACCTTATGCAATTTTGATAATGCGGTGTCATATTCCAATCTGATAGCATTGCTGAAGTCCTGCTGTACAAAATATTGGTCCATCAACTCTAAAGCATCCAGTACCTCTGTGCGAGTAATCTTTCGCATCTCTATACTGTCATCAATCTCCTCTTCTTCGCTTTCAGCCTTCTCAGCTTCCTGGTATGTGACTAGGTCCAAAATTTCCTGGTCGGTTAGTACTTCTTCTGTACTCCTTTCTTCCGGATAATTAATATATTCCTCGATATTCATCTCGTTCCGGAGGTGAAGTGACTCAACATCTGCACGTAGTTCTTCCGTCAAGTCGTTATCATTGTCGTTAATGGTGAGTTCCTCATTATTATTATAAATTGGAAGAATTCCTGTGTGTCGAAAACAATTATGTATCGTTGTTGGTGATACCTCGCTCCACGCTCGAACAACAAACCGTACAGCAATAAGAATATCCATTTTTTTATTTTCAGCACCGAATTCGTATTGCTCAAGTAACCATTTCACAAAATAACTTCGGTAATGACGCTTGAAAGACATAATGACACCAGCGTCCATAGGTTGAATGCGGGATGTTGTGTTTGGGGGAAAAAAGTGAATAGTTGTATTGCGAAGGTTTAAATTGCTAGCAACATGACTCGAAGCATTATCCAATAGAAGAATTGTTCTACGACCAGTCATCCTCAAGTCAAACGCCCTAAGCCACCGTTGAAATAACACTCCCGTCATCCACGCTTTGGTACTTGCCTCATACACAATACCGAGATTGTTGCGATTTACATTTTTGAAGCATCGCGGGTTGAGGTACTTTCCAATAACAAATGGCTTCATTTTATCCGTCCCATCAGCATTAGCACAAAGTGCCACGGTTAATCGTTCCTTATCCTTCTTTTTTCCTCTAAGACGAGTTGTTGCCAATGTGGTATCTGGTTCGAGACTAAAAAAATTAAGTTAGTAAAGTTTGATGTTATTCGGTATAATATAATTATATTTATACCGGTAAAATAAACCCGTTTCATCCATGTTATATATATCTCTCAAATCATACTCCTTCAACACTTCTCTCAATTGAGGAATGGCGGCGGTGGCAATAGCGTGATCTGCAGAGGCATCCTCTCCATGCTTCTTTATTTGTGCAAGGTTATGTCTTTTCTTGAACTTGGACAACCAGCCATTTGAGAACTTGATATTGTCATCGGATATATTTAACATTTGAGCAAAATTCTTGGCTTTTTCTACCAGAATTGCATCAGTTAATGTTATTTTGTCTTGGCTTCGTAGAATCCATTCGAGCAATGTATTTTCTATGTCCGGATATTGAACACTTCTTTGTCTTTTCGCGGAGAAATTAACCCCAATGTCTTCCTTCCGTTTCATTAGACGGCTAATGGTGCTTGGATGGACATCAAGGTTAAATCTTTTTTTTACCCAATCGACAAGATCAAGATTGGTGAAATTAGGATTTTGGTCCTTAGATGCGATGACAGCCATTCGTTGTTCATTGTTTAGAGTAGTTTTAGTGTTTTTGGAAGACATACCGGTCGCTGTTAATGTAAGCAATATAATATGGCTTCGAAGTTAACAGTGTCTTTTATTCAAAATGAATATAATAAACAAAGAAATGAGTAGCCAGTTGAACTATGACCCCACCATTGTTTCATTATATTTTAGGATGAATCGAGTAACTGCACACACATACGCGTACGCAGAGTAACCAGTTAAACTATGATCCGTATTGTCGTATTACATTTTTGGTGAGTTATTCCTCCCCCCTTCCAACACACACATACACACACACGCAGAGTAACCAGTTAGACTATAACCCAGCACTGTCGCATTACATTTTTGGAGATTAACCCTTCCCCTTCCTCACACACACACACACGGAGTAACCGGTTGGACTATAACCCCAGCATTGTCTCATTACACACACATGTGTACGCAGAGTAACCAGTCAAACTATGACCCCAGTATTGTTGCATTACGTTTTTGGTGAGTAATTCCCCCCCTTCCAACACACACATACACACACGCAGAGTTGCAGAGTAATCAGTTAGACTATGATCCCAGTACTGTCACTTTACATTTTTGAAAATTAACCCTCCCTCCCACACACTATACGAGTAACCATTACGCTAGAATAAACCAGTTGCAATTGTTACTCATTATGTGTTATCGCATGATAAATTTGATTGGTTCTTGTATAGTTATGATCACATGATGTGCACTTACAGAGAGAACGCATATATAAATAAACCGAGAAATAACGTGCACTTACAGAATAAAGAATGTGCACTTATCTATAAGTCCCATCATGG